GCTCATTGACCTGCAGTGCAATTCTGAGCTCAAAGCCAAGTTCAGGGAAGTGAATGGGAAAGCAGACAAGCTTGGACAGTTCATGAGAGAATTGCCCCCCTCCTTCCCTGAGCTTTCCAGGATGTTCAAGCGGACCATGTGCCTTTTTGGGAGCACATATATGTGTGAACAGCTCTTCTCCACCATGAACTTCAATAAGTCAAAGTACAGGTCCAGACTTACTGATGAACATCTTCAAGCCATACTAAGGGTTTCAACTGCTTCCTCCCTCAAACCAAATGTGGCTCAGCTGTGTGAGAGGAAGCGCTGCCAGGTCTCTACCAGCAAGGAGTAGGCAAGAGCAACTGGAAATAGTTATGTTGTGAAGAACCGTTCATGTTAAGAAGATGTTGAAGAACTGTTAATGTTGTATTTTTTAATACATTTTTTGTGGAATACTTGAAGCGGCCCAGACTTGCCCAGACTCTACGTCCAGCGGCCCCCAGGTAAATGGAGTCTGAGACCCCTGCTTTAAGGCATCGTAATCCAAGAGGTTTGTTATAATATATATATATATATATATATATATTGGCTAATGCATTATCTAATTATCTCAGTGTTGTCATTGTTATTGGCATCAAGATACACTTGTATTATCTCAGCGCTGTAAACAACGTGTGTCATGTTCCAATGTGTTCAAATGTCCATCACTGTCACTCTACCGATAGTTGGACAATGTAACTGAACTTTAAAAGACACTGTACTTATACCTCAGAAGACACACTGGAGACTTTGATATTTCCATGGAGACTGCTCGGGGAAAGTGTCTACATTTCTCCTTTACAGAGCGTCTTGTTCACACGAAACAGCAGCATGTCTGCTGGAAAAGGAGCACTCGAAACATGTTCCTGACGTCGGTTTCTGTGAGCGTGTTGAGGGGCGAAGACAGGTCAACCATGAAATCTGCTGCACTGACACTGGCAGAGCACCTGTCTGAACAACAGGGCAATTATAAAAGTGGTATTCACTTCTTCTTTTTTTAAAGTAAGAAAGGTGTCCCAGACTATCAAAGCCGGGGTCTCATTTGAGTTGATCAATCATTTGTTATGGTATTTAGACACATTCATGCAGGCAGAGGCTGCCAGGTGACACCTGCTCAGGGAAACTAATGGCGCATTCCCACTGCAGGGCCTCGCACGGCTTAGTACGGTATAGTTAGGCCTTGGTAGGCCAGGGGCAGTAACTATAGTAACGCAGTGTAGGCGGAGCCGTGACGTCATCTTCAATGCGAAACACAAAACCAACCTCAGCCGTTAGCTGTTAGCCCTCAGAGCTCACAGCTCCTCATATCTGTTCAGAAACTAGACAAAAGTTAAACAAGTACAAACCACAGACTGCCTGTGTCATGGCGAATACAGTCGCTGGTTTATTTATGTCTGTATAGGCCGTTGTTGTGAGTGTGGACGGTCGGAGCATATACTGCGTTAGCTTAGCCGATCTCCATTCAGAAAGCACGCATTTTAAAAGGTTTTTCACCTGCCGTCTGTCTGCAGACTTGTCAAAGCATTAATTCATGGTTTTTACTAACCGCTATCAGTATGTTGTTACTTCGGCATCATTTAAAAAAATAAAAAAATCACGGTAAAATATGTTAATTGTGTTGTTCATTTCTCTCACTGGCATACTCAGCCCGATTGTTGGCCCGGAAAGAACCTCGATTTTGGAGAGCCAGAAAACTGTGAAAAAGTACCCGCTAGCCGGAACTACGCCAAGTGGAAACGCAACCAAAAACGGGCCGGGCACGGCACGCTTAATTAAACCGTGCTCCACACTGTAGTGGAAATGCGCCATAACATTCACACACTGTTAGCCATCAGGAGCATTTGGGTTTAATTATCTTACCCAAGAATACATCAACATGTTGACTATAGGGCCTGGCAGGGTCGTGCACAGACATTTGGAGGGGCTATTGCTCTAAACTGGAAAAAGGGCCTCCCCCCCGAAAAAAAATATGAGACCAAAACGATTATTACATTAACTAATTTGAACAGTCATTCACATCATCATCTCATAACAAAATAAGCTAAAGCAACTACTTGCATTCGGTGACTTGATTTTTAAAATGAAAACCAGGGACATGTTTTGTTTTGCGGTCCATATCTCATTAAAATATCTAATGTTAGAAACTACTAAAGAAAAAATGGGGACAATCAATGTAGTTTGACCATTGCAGACATACTGACAAAATAGGGCTTCTATAATTACCTTAAATAAACTCACTAATTAATTAAACCAGTTCAATACGCATTATTCTTATCATTCTTTATGAGCGCAGTAATGTGTAAGGTATTTCTCACCCATTTCATCAACACTTCTCTAACTTCTGGTCACTTTCCAAACAGTCTCAAGGAGGCAAGAGTAAACCCTCTCCTAAAGAAACCCGCTCTCAACCCGTCTGATGTTATAAACTACAGGCCTGTCTCTCTCCTCCCGTTCCTGTCTAAATCACTTGAACGCGCTGTCTTTAAACAACTCTCCTGTTATCTCCATCAGAACAACCTTCTGGATCCGCACCAGTCTGGTTTCAAGGCAGGTCACTCCACAGAAACTGCCCTCCTTGCTGTCACTGAGGAACTGCACACTGCTAAAGCAGCCTCCTTCTCCTCTGTCATCATCCTGTTGGACCTGTCTGCTGCAGTAGACACGGTGAATCATCAGATCCTCCTTCGCACTCTCCAAGAACTTGGAGTTTCAGGCTCTGCACTTTCCCTCCTCACCTCATACCTCAAAGACCGCACCTACAGGGTTACTTGGAGAGGGTCCGAGTCCGACCCTTGTCAATTAACTACAGGGGTCCCTCAGGGCTCTGTTCTTGGTCCCCTCCTCTTCTCCTTGTACACAAACTCGCTCGGATCTGTCATTAGCCCGCATGGTTTTTCATACCACTGCTACGCTGACGACACCCAATTAATTCTGTCCTTTCCCCGCTCAGAGACCCAGGTCGTCGCACGCATCTCTGCTTGTCTAGCTGACATCTCTCAGTGGATGTCTGCTCATCACCTCAAGCTCAACCTTGACAAGACTTCCGGGAAAAGATTGTCCCACTCTTGACCTAACAATCAACATTGGCACCTCTATTGTTTCCCCGACTCAGACTGCAAGGAATCTGGGTGTGATCCTAGATAACAATCTGTCCTTCACTGCAAACATCGCTGCTACAACCCGTTGCTGCAGATACACGCTTTACAACATCAGGAGGATACGTCCCCAGCTGACCCAGAAAGCGACGCAGGTTCTGGTCCAGGCTCTCGTCATCTCACGCCTAGACTACTGTAACTCCCTCCTGGCTGGTCTACCTGCATGTGCCATCCGACCTCTGCAGCTCATCCAGAATGCAGCGGCTCGTCTGGTCTTCAACCTTCCTAAATTCTCCCACACCACGCCGCTCCTCCGCTCCCTCCACTGGCTTCCGGTAACTGCTAGAATCCACTTCAAGACAATGGTACTTGCGTACCATGCTGCGAATGGATCTGGCCCTTCCTACATCCAGGACATGGTTAAACCGTACACCCCAGCACGTGCACTCCGCTCTGCATCAACCAAACGGCTCGCTGCGCCCTCGCTGCGAAGGGGACCCAAGTTCCCATCAGCAAAAACACGTGGGTTTGCTGTCCTGGCTCCAAAATGGTGGAATGAGCTCCCCATTGACATCAGGACAGCAGATAGCTTACACACCTTCCGGCGCAGACTGAAAACTCATCTCTTTCGACTCCACTTCGAGCAATAGAACTATTAACAAAGCACTTATATACTATTAAAGGACTGGCTTTTCTAAAGCCAGTTGAGTAGCACTTGAAATGTTTTGGCTCTATGAAACCTGATGTACTTATATGATTCTGTTTTCTTCACGTTTGTATTTTGTTGGTCGAACGCACTTATTGTAAGTCGCTTTGGATAAAAGCGTCAGCTAAATGCAATGTAATGTAATGTAATCTAATTATTTATTTAGTATTCCATAACTTAATAACAGAGATGGTCAAATTAAAGTAGAGACATGGCAGAAATCCTACAATGAAGCGGGGCAGTGAAGTGTTCTCTGAGAGAGGGTGATCAAGAGAAGAGAGCGAGCGGCCCCGTCGAGGGAGTTTACCATGTAAGAAGAAGGAGAAGAAGAAGAAGAAGTAGTAGAAGAAAAATGAAGCTGGTGTGTTTCCCACAGCGAGACACTACAATACTAATCGTGGGCTTATCATGGTGATTCGACCACAACAGAAAGAAGAAAAAAAACTCTCCCTCTCTCCAGAGGGGCAGGTCAGCCAAAAAGGGGAAACGGACCGTTGCCCGGGCAACAATAGCCCGTACCTGTGCACGGCCCTGGGGCCTGGGATCGAACTCACAACCCTCTGATTGGAGGATGACCGAACTATCTCAAAGTTGTTGATTTAGCTAAAAAATAGAAATATATGATGACTCTAACCGGAGAAATACAGTTCGGGCCCAATGTGACTGAAACCGAAGTAGTACTACCATTTTGCCAATACTGTTTCGACGCCCTGTGTTCTTCCTGGGAGCTTTGAATCAATTGATTAGACTTTGCTGGTCAAAGGTAAAGGTCACGGTGCCCTTACAGAACCTTTATGGCCATTACTCATGTTGTGAAGACATATTGGAAAGACAAGTAAGTAACTGCAATCTCTGCTTGGAAGAGCATAAAACACAAAACTCATAATTCTAGTTTAAGATATAATGGATATATTTAATTAATATTTATTTATCCTTTGTCAGTTTCCCACTACTACTGCTACTTCTCTGATTTCACTTTTACTGTAATAAAGACATTCATCAGTAAACACAGACTTCAAGTGGTTCACTTTCGTTACCATTTGATGTATGGGATCAAAACAACTACGTACTTGTGTGCGTGCATCTGCTTGTAGCCTGCATGCGTCGACATGCGCGCGCACTGTCCATATATCCATGCCCTCGCTTGCGTCGAGCAGCTCATTACAGTTTGGATCCATGCAGGGCTCTGGCACTCCGCGGAGAGACGCGCAGGGCAGGTGGTGCTGCTGAGACAGCGCTCAGTCCATCACAGCCCCCCCTCCCCCCGTCCAGTCACCGCGAGGCAGTGTTGGATTCCTTCAGTGCTCAGTCAGGGATGCGCATCTGGACCTGAGAGGGTCCCGGGGACATTTACGCGTCGAGGTGCTCCGCAGTACCTCTCCCTGTTCCCCACAGAGGAAATACTCGCACCGGTTGAGGACAGTTTGGCTTTTTTTTTTTACAGAATGGCCGGCGCAGAGTGCCTTCTTCAAACGCCGAGGTAAGAGACTTTATTATCCCAGGATGGAAAAAAGGTCGCTAATGTTTGGAGCGTATTCCCAAACAAAACATCTTAAATCGTACGTTTGATATTCAATAGTGAACTTTATATTTTGTATGTTGCATGTATGGAGCCACTATATTCTCAAGCAATGGTGCGATTATTTTTGTGTAGCACCCTTTTTAAACATCATATTCTACATTATGTGATATTTCCAAAGACACTGGAATGAGGTGGTTTGACGTGGACGTTATCTCCTGTCAGTGCGAAGTGTGCCAGTTTGTGTTGGGGGGAAAAAGCGCACCAAAATCCACGCAGAGGGTTGCAGTAAATCCGCTTTCACGGACGACTGCCAGTGTTTGTGCAGTAAACAAGATGTTTCAGCATGCCTGACCTCACTCATACAATGTGGGGCAATGAAGAAAAGTGTTTGAATGATAAATAATCACACTTAGATGTGTCATTAAGCTTAGTCTCTGTAACAAAACATGGCACATTTTGTATTATTAGCAGTTGAACTCTTTCCAAAACAGTCACATTGAAAAGTTGCTTGTTTGCGCATGTTCCCGCTGGCCTGGGGATATTCAAGCTTTCACAGTAAATCACATAATTGGACCCGGGCAGTCCTTGAAAGCCAAAATACATTTCATGGTTTAATGGTCTGATTGCTGGGTACCTGCGGGCCCCGGGAGCACGAGAGTGCACCGACCTGGCTGTCAGTCAGCCGCGTGTCGTGATGGGAAGGTCGTTATACGCGCAAAGATCAGAAGTCGTGCGTGACGAATCCATCCCTGGTCATCTGCAAAAAAAAATTGGCGGAAAAAGCTCCCGATCGGCATGAGCAGCTTTATTTTTCCAATCCTTTCCACTTCCTTCTTTTGCAATGTCGTTTGCTTCCAGTTTTCTGCATGCATTCAACATAATCACTGCAGAATCGTGCGTGTTTGGATTCATGTTTTGATATGTGTGCCTCGCAGATGCATCAGCCTATTTAAAGCACATCCACTTATCTCCAGTACATCATATTTTTTCCCCCTCAAATTAACCGGACATTTACAGTAAACTCATCATTTCTTGTGACACAATTATTTACATCAGGCATTACTGCAAATAGATCCAGTTGTGTTGATCCCTCTGGGGTTTAAAGATGAAATGCTTTTTAGCTTTGAAATACGTGGATTACAGTTACAAAAAAAGAAAACCAGCTGCTCCTATTCAAACATGCATCCAGCCTCTTTATTTTCCAAATTGATCCTCATTAATGCCATTGCAGATAAGCTTCGACTTGGCTTATCTCAGTGAAAGCATGCACAGAGGATAATGACGCCTTCCCGGGGTTTTGAGTTGTGTTGAGACTCTGAGAGACAGTCCCACGTTGTTGAGTAATGTTGTCTTATGCACCAAAGGAAGGTCGTACATTGGGTTTACATCCTTTTTCTTCTTCTATAATCCCCTGTTGTCATTGCTGTGGGAGTCAAACGACAGCAAAGTGCATTTTTGCAGACGTGATATCCAGCACAAACTACAATTTGCTGCAACATGCATGTGTCCTGAGCGTTTTCACGAGGAGTGAGAAGACCTCCGTTAAAGAAACCTTGCTACAATGACTTCTCATAAATAATAATGCTATAAAAAGGTTGTCACATCCAAAAGCATTACAAAAGCCCTTTTGCCCTCTTTAATAAATGATGGGAGGTGACACCTTGGTTGGCAGTAAATGTCAGCAGCTATTGCACAAATGAACACATCAGGAGCGTCACACAGATGCCTATTTGTATTTAATTGTGAATTTTGAATGTCCATGTTTGTACTAGTGTTTTCCTTCTTAAAATGTTTTTTAAATATTTTGAGATTTGGTTGAGCGGGGTATACTTGTACTTTTACTAGTCCTTTATTAGAGATGTGTCTGTTGTTTGTGTTTGTTTTTAGTGTCAGGATGGAACCCTTGTCTTTTTATCTGCAAACAGAATCTACCTACGGGTACAAATAAATAACCTGAACCTGAATGTTCCCTTTGTCTTAATTGGGGCATTAGGGGCAGTTGTCTCGAATATTGAGTGTTATATTCAGTACGACAAAACCTGGTTAGTCCTTTGGATGGGTGCCACCGATATGAATATGAACACGTGACAGGAGACGGCATTGAATATGGATTGTTACCATAGAATCGGAGATACAGGGTCCCACGATTTAATAAAGTTAGACTAGTCCTCCTTAACGCACCAGTCAATCCTCAAATTAAATACAGAGCTTAATCCCAGGTCAAATGTTCGTTAGAGGGTCTTGAGCGTGTTTTCTCTCCAGTGATTGTGATGTTGTTAAATGTTTGTTTTCCTTTGATCATTTCTTAATATGTGTCCTTGTTTGATGTTGCTAATGGAGCTGCTGTGATGCAAGTCAAATGTGACCTGTCACAGTATTATCGTATCGAGATGTGCTGCTCCCATGCACACTTCTGATCCAACACACTGTTTGTTTGTTTTAAAAGAACACTTGACAGGAACTTGCTCTGACAAAGTCGTCTCTTTGCCCTTTCTGCCCCGCAGTAACTTCCAGTCGTCAGCCATGTTTGAAGGCTCTGAAGCTGTGGAGGTGGGGGGGGGCAGCACGCAGAGCACCGCGGCCTCGTCCATCAGCGCCTGCAAGAAGGTAAAATAATGAAAGTGTCTATCTATCTCTGTGTGTGTGTCCCTGTGTCTTCTTCTTTCTCTCATCATGTGTGTGTGCACCTGTCACTCATATCTGCCTCCCCCTCAGTTTATCTGCAGAGTTTAATTTCCTCTCGCGGGTGCTCTGACACCCAGAGGTTGTGCAGTGGGAGGAACAGCCCTCAGGTCAGCCCAGTAGATTTATCATCCAGCACTGTGAGAGCAACAGGAGGGGAAATAGCACAGATCAGTGGGCTGAGGTGGAGAATGGATTGAATTTCCTTTCAGATTGTGCGTCTCTTTGTGTGTGTGTGTGTGTGTGTGTGTGTGTGTGTGTGTGTGTGTGTGTGTGTGTGTGTGTGTGTGTGTGTGTGTGTGTGTGTGTGTGTGTGTGTGTGTGTGTGTGTGTGTGTGTGTGTGTGTGTGTGTGTGTGTGTGTGTGTGTGTGTGTGTGTGTGTGTGTATGTGTATGTGTATGTGTGTGTGTGTGTGTGTGTGTGTGTGTGTGCTCGCTGATGTGTGTTCCTAATTAGCCGATACCACTCATGATCTTAACTGACTTCCACTCCAGTGTCCTGTAGAGGCACAAGGTGATATCTTTCTCATTATTGGACCTCAGGCTCCGCTGACCGCTGTGATATGACATCAGCTGAAGCTACGTCACCTTCACCTGGCTAAAGGCAGGCACAGATGGTCCTATCCTCAGGGTGCAGGCACGACGGGGCATGAATTGTCACTAAAAATACACAGAGAGAACATGCGTAATATCCGTCACATGCCGGAGTAACTGCAGAGAAATTGATCTATTAATAGCATGTGACTGTCATCCCTTAACTGCCGTACATGGGTAGCGCTAACTCTCCTTGTTTACTCTATTTTTACCTTTAAAATATCAATATTTTGTTTAACTATTAGCAATAGTAGTATTTCTTTTATTTCTATTATTATTATGTTATGTATGTTTTTGAATTAAACGCATGCACTTGTATTTAAGTGATGTCAGTCCATTTTTTTAAATTAAATTAATTATTTTAGCATCGCTATTATATTCGCTTTTTGTTGTTGATGTTGTTTTTGGATTCTTGCAATGTGGACAATTAAAAAAGACAATGGTATAAAAGGAATATATACCGTATGATCAAACCCTGTGTGGTAACCATCAAGGGAATCTTTAAAATGGACTCTTGTTAATACAATATCATTGCAATTGAGAAGCCAATAAAATAAGTGAAATCAATAGTTAACGACAAATGATTGCGTCAGTGAAGCAGTCCCTCCGTCATTAACAAAGGCAGCTCAATAACTTTTGGCTTCGTCCTGAGGGCTTCATTAAAGTGTCCCAGGGAGGAGGCAGCTGACAGATTGTTGATCCAAGGACACTTATCGTGGAAAAGAAGGTCCTGGAGAAAGGGCCATTCATCCCAGTAACCAGAGAGGGAACACATTTGAAAGTGGATATGTGACTAAGCGAGTGTGTGTTAGTCGTAACTTAAAACCAGTTGCTGTCTAGAGCGGGATAGGTGACATGCACGAAACCCAATATTTGCATTATTATCCTCTTGAAGATCCTGCAAGCATGACTCCTTCTTACTAGTGAGCACCGTACAGTGAGTCACACAGCTTTCTAAACAAGAGAGCAACTATAATGTTTTAAAACACACCTGCTGTTAAACACAAAGACACTTCAGGGGATTTCTGCAAAAAGGTGACCTGACTGTTTTTTACAAGTCTTTTTATTTCATACAGTATTTCGTACAGTAATCGATGCCATTTCATGTATATTGTAATATCACAGTACACTCACTACACTCCCCCCTCCCTCCACCCGCACATGCCCACACGGGCGAAACCAAAACAAAATGCTTATCAATATAACTTAAACAACAGAGCCATGAAAATAAAATAAAACAGAAAAGGAAAAAAACAAAATTATTTAACTAATCAAGAACAACGTTAATGAAGGTCATTTTTTAACGGTTATCTCGATCTCTTACCGTAGCTACTGCAGCTATTCCCATGATACTGTTTGAAATATGATGAAGCCATTTACAATCATATTTGACTAGTTATGAAATAGAAGATTGACATTCAAAATAAAAAATGTTTTCTTGTTTTGGTTAAAAATAACATGTGTTTGACCACAACTCAAGACATATAATAATTACAACAATGTCACACAAATATTTACATTACATTACATGTTACTTGTTAGACGCTTTTATCCAAAGCGACTTACAATACTGTGGGCAATCCCCACAGGAGCAATTTGGGGTGAAGTGTCTTGCCCAGCAACGACATGCTGACTGCAGTGGGGTTTGAACCTGTTCCGAACACCAACGCACAACCCACTGCGCCACACGCCTCCCCAATTCTCACACACTTTATCTATAAAGTCTATACAACACTTGTTCTAAGTCGCTTTGGATAACAGCGTCTAACAAGTAGCATGTAATGTAACACTTCATCCTACTCCTTAAAACATCTGAATATTAAGGATTACAATACTTTTGTTTCCCCTAAAACTAGTCATTTCTTTTTGTGTCTCAAGAAAAACACTGGAGACAGGAGCTTCTGATTTCGAGTGTTCAATCGCAGTCTGTCCCCTCATTTATTTATTTAGGTTGCATAATAGTTCAATGTTGCTCTCTGCAGCTGGTTCGTCATGTTCTGGTTTCTCCATGTTTTTGCACTTCTTGGAAATCCAGCAGTGGTTTGCGAATACACAAAGATGTACAGTATGTGCTGAAGTGGAGTCTGCATGAGAGGATTCCTCATGCAGACTCAGATAAACATGGTTACTAAACACCACTCAGCACAAGATAAAAGACATACATTCATGTACTACGCTTTAGGGTTACATTTCTTAAACATTTAAACGACCCTTTAAAGGTCCCCTATTATACTGTTTTTCATTAATATATTACAGGTCTCAGATATATACAGAACCTGTCTCTGATTGGCTGAAACACCAATCAGATCATTGCAGCATTACCCATAATCCCCTCTGTTTCAGCCCTGTTTCCAAAGTGCTGATTCTCTGTCTGTTACTTCAGATGAAAATAAGGAGCCCCTCGATCAAAAAGAGAGAGAATCTTTGTTCCTGAAACTTTCAGAGTCTCTTTCCACAGAGGAGACACATGTTGATGTAGAAGAGACATGAAGAAGAGGGGACACATGTTGATGAAGAAGAGACATGAAGAAGAGGGGACACATGTTGATGTAGAAGAGACATGAAGAAGAGGGGACACATGTTGATGTAGAAGAGACATGAAGAAGAGGGGACACATGTTGATGTAGAAGAGACATGAAGAAGAGAGGACACATGTTGATGTAGAAGAGACATGAAGAAGAGGGGACACATGTTGATGAAGAAGAGACATGAAGAAGAGGGGACACATGTTGATGTAGAAGAGACATGAAGAAGAGGGGACACATGTTGATGTAGAAGAGACATGAAGAAGAGGGGACACATGTTGATGTAGAAGAGACATGAAGAAGAGAGGACACATGTTGATGTAGAAGAGACATGGAGAAGAGGGGACACATGTTGATGAAGAAGAGACATGAAGAAGAGGGGACACATGTTGATGTAGAAGAGACATGAAGAAGAGGGGACACATGTTGATGTAGAAGAGACATGAAGAAGAGGGGACACATGTTGATGTAGAAGAGACATGAAGAAGAGGGGACACATGTTGATGTAGAAGAGACATGAAGAAGAGGGGACACATGTTGATGTAGAAGAGACATGAAGAAGAGGGGACACATGTTGATGTAGAAGAGACATGAAGAAGAGGGGACACATGTTGATGTAGAAGAGACATGAAGAAGAGAGGACACATGTTGATGTAGAAGAGACATGAAGAAGAGGGGACACATGTTGATGTAGAAGAGACATGAAGAAGAGGGGACACATGTTGATGTAGAAGAGACATGAAGAAGAGGGGACACATGGTGATGTAGAAGAGACATGAAGAAGAGACATGAAGAAGAGGGGACACATGTTGATGTAGAAGAGACATGAGGAAGTGGATGTTGCACAATAGGTGACCTATAATACCACATCTGTATCATCATCATCTGTGGTGTGATCTCCTGTACTGATCATTGGTCTGTGTGCAGGTGCTGTGCAGCAACAGCGTAATGGACTCCCCGGAGTACTGGCTGAGGAACGAGAAGGCTCTGTGCCGACTGGGCCTGCTGGACGACGACACGGAGGGCAGCTGCACCATGGTGAGTGAGCATACGGTGCACCAGGAAACACTTGCACCCTCATGGCAACAAATAATGGAGCAACTCATCTAGTGTGGAGTCTGAAAGCTGCAGGAGGCGCGTCTGTGGCTTGAAATGACAGCGAGGAATGAATATAAATACAGAGATGATTGAGAACATTCTTCACTCTCTGTCTTTTGGATTGCTTCTGGGCGTGGAGGTGGTGAAAAATGTTTTTTGCTGCAGGTTGATGGTGCTCCTTCGCTGCCGGAGGGTAGCCAGTTCTTGAAGGTTTGGTGTGTCACTATGTGTGTTGAGAAAATGTTTTTAGGATAATCAATAACCACTTGCATTATAGAGTCAACTGTTAGATCTCACATGCAATCATCCCTGATTAGAGACTCTTTAGTTTGGTGGTAGACAAGTGAAAACGTGCTACAACAGCCTCAAGCACTAAAATGTAAGTTTCATTGGCTTATTTTAATGTGATCGCATGATTACTAGCTAGCTTACGGCAGATCTGCCATTATATATTGTAAGTAACAGTGCTCCGGTCCCAGCTGTGGGTATACATCTTTAGTGTCCTTGTTTCAGTTGTGTTTTGAGCTTCTTGCAGCGTTTTGTTAATGTAAGGCTTTTAGTCAATGCTGCTCACGTTTCGTCAAGTTGGTGAAGATGTTCCTCATTTGCATGTGTTTTGGCACATTTGTGTTTTTATTTATGCATTGTTTATGAAGCTGCTGCGTGTTCCTCCTAATGGAAGTTGTTCTTCGTCTCCGGCTTGAGTTTCGATGATCAGGATACATGTAGGGATGTCCCGATCACCTTTTTTTGCTCCCGATCCGATTCCGATCATTTGATTTTGACAATCTGCCGATACCGATTTTTCCCGATCCGATCTTTATGCAATGCATTAAGAGAGAGAAAAGGTAACAGATACCGGCTGGTCATCCAATGCGATGAGTTCAGCTATCTTGGCTGTTATTTCTTTGGCCTTTTCACTGTTCTGGGGCAGTTTCTCTTTCCTTTTCAAAGTCTCTGAAAGTGTCGGTTGTTTCAGTGCCGTTCCCCGAGTGGCCGCTGTGCACTCGTCGTGTTGTTGTTGGTGTTTGTTTCTCAGGTGGCGTATTAGATTGGTCGTGTTGAACGTAGCTCTGTTCTTTCCACCACGCGGCACCTCTGTCTTGCAAACATTGCATCTGGCTGTTACACTACCTTCGCTTTCAATTTTATAATACTTCCAAACTCCTGACATTTTCTCTGTCCCGACTCCCGAGTCACCAGCTGAACGTAGCCTCTCGTTAGCTTACTGCTACTATTAGACACTGCGCCCACTCTGTTGCTTTGAGAGGAATAAGCAACCAGGTCTGAACAAGCCCAAAGGAAGCAACACATACATGATGTTGTGTAATTTTAAACCAAAACTAAGGCCTCAGGATGACTTTAAGACGTGAACATGGTCATTTTTGTTTTGTAACATTAAATAAAATTATTAAAAAAAATTATTCAAAAAAAAAAAGAAAAAAAAAAGATTCCCGATCCCCGATTTATTTCTTACGATCCCGATCTTCTGAAAATCACGTGATCGGCTCCGATCCCTGATCATCTCTAGATACATGTATTTATTATCCTTGCAAGAATGGAAGAAGTCATCACATACAGAGCATCAGCTAATTCCCCGAATAGTGTCCTTCACATGCTGATATACAAGAGAGGGAGTTACACAGTCACAAGATGGAGGAATACCGGGTCAAAGCAGTATTCTATGTTTAGTTCAGATTAGCTAAGGCCTGTGTAAGCAATAAACATGACAGTCATATGCCTATCTCCCTAGGCCTAGGGGCTGTGTCATCATGTTAATCGTTGAACATAGCTATCGTATATTCAGCACAGTGTCTCATGAGCACCTTCTAAGTAATCATACATCCGGTTAGGTACACAGTTGGGTGATTCTCACGAAACCACCTTTGGTCATGTCTGTGAGGAATTGACAGACAAAATTACAAAAATAATCAAAATAATCAATTCTATATCAAACTGCATTGTGAATTGTATGTGGTACTATTGCTATTTTTGTAGTTGAGGTAGTAATTCATATTTTTTTCACCATTTTTCCATGTAGAAATGCATTACCGTAATGCGTCCGGAGTTTTTTTTTTTACATTTAACCCCAAAATATCACAATAAATCTGCACAATTTAATACATACATAAATACAAAAAAATGTTGAAATGGTACATTCTTACTGGTAATATAATTATTTTGGGTCTAAGATTTATGAATTAAAATATTTTTGGATTAATATGTGTGTCCGGAGCATGTGAAGTTCATTACCGATGCACTGCCTATTTGGCCCCATTACAATTCCTGTTTATTTAAATTAGTGTTTTTTTTACCCATGATGCATTGCATGGAAGAGAAGATGCAAGATGGCTACAAGGTAAGATGTCCTTTCAAGGTCAAGCTATTACAGTTAGGCCTTTGTTATCATGTGCTACTCTGATATAGAAAATAGTACATTCAGTATTTTCCTAACAGAAGTGTTTTGGGCCGTGTGTTGCACCTGTCGGCCACCGTACGGTAGACTTCTGTGGTAGAAACAGCATGTTGATACAATAGTGCAAATTACTTGTTGACTTTTTTGATTGACCAGCATTTGCTCTAAAGAAAACCTTAGAGACATTTGCTTCAAATTATAGGCATCCCAAAAAGGGAAAACACCTTCTTAGGTATATTATCCTGAGTGCCTTGACTCTACAGAAAATGTTACCTCTAATGCTGAGAAAACTGCTGTCTTTGTTGCTAGCTCTCTGAATGCTTGTGTTGTGCCGTCTTGGAGATGCGTTGGCAGAAGACATTTAAATAATATCATTTCCCACAATCGCTTTGCTGGTTGCAATAAACCAAAGGAGTCTTTTTCAAGTAGATGCAATTTCATTCTGCTGAAAGATTGTGAAAAGATAAATTATGTCTCAACAGGCAATTTATTATTGGAAGATTGTTTTTTGTGGTTTATTTGTGTCACTACAGAAACCATCATCTCTGCTGTAATACAAACTCTGAAATATTTCCATAGTTTGACTTTCTGCTTTGATTTTGAGAACTCTTGTTGGACTAAAGCAGGGGTGGCCAACCAATCAGAGGTAAAGAGCCAATAATTGTCCTGTGTTACTGCAAAGAGCCACATCATACAGTACACACAGGCACACATGATGGGTGTATGTCCCCCGACCTCTCTCTCCTTCTCTCTTTTGCTCTCAGCCTTTCTGTGTGCTCTCTCACTCTCTTCCTCTATGTGCCCCTCTCTATCTCTCACACATACAAAATGAAAATCTAAAAATGAACAATAATTGACACACACACACTCACATACAGAAACACATACCTCCGCTCAGCCAGATTTCCTATAAATGTCACAGTCCATGATATTGACAGAAATTGACTTAAACCTCTCCTACCAGTATTAAGACCAGAGGCCAGTTATAGTCAACCATTAATATTGTGTCTCACACACAAACTCTCAGTTAAAAACATTTGAAAAAAGTAGTTATCTTACTATGCATGTTGCTTCTTGAAATGTGCAGAGGATGTGGAAGGGGCTCAAATGCATGAAAGGGCACATTTGCGATCTTTGCGACTTTTTTCTCCCTGTCTGTATCTCACACACAGATTCATGACAGTTATTTAAAAATGAATGAAAATAAATAAAGTGTATTTTTGTTAATTCTCCTCACATGACATCTCAACTTTTACCTAACCCTCTGACCAGTGGCGGCGCCAGAGATTTTCTCTAGGGGGTGCTGTGGGGTAGCTTGACGTTTCATAGAGGGTGCTCAAACATTAAGGGTTTCCCATTAATGCACCAGCACTACAGTTGAATTTTCTACTGCAACACTCCCCACACGCACACACAGTGTACCCGCGACTGTTACAATGAAGGCTCGGTAATCAGCTCACGGCATATAGGTGTAAGCAGGAGTAAAGTGCTATTTTTACAAGTGGTGTGTGGACCTCACCTCCTCTAGTGGGAAGATTTTTTTTTAAATATTGAAGTTAAAAGCATCAATCTGGTGCACTTTGAGAGCTAAATGAAGAGATCTATGGATATACTGTATCTCTCAACATACATATGAAACAGAACTGTAAACAGATTTTCTATTTCTTTATAGATATTTTACAAATCACTCCCCTTTTAAAACAAACCGTTTGAGACCCACTGAGATAACTAGACTAAAGTTAACTATCTAAACACTGAGAGTCCTTTACTTCACCTGAGCTGAGGTTATCTGAGACTCTCCGTCTGACAGGAGAGAGTTCTCCCTCCACCTTGTTGTTGAAAAAGCTCCTTATATCCGTTAGCTTGGCTAGCTAGCACCAGATGTTAACCACAACGATCTCCGGTAGATACCCACCGGTGTGCGAGCTCTCTCTCTCTCGCTCGCTTGCGCACGCACACAAAATGGCTCGTGCCACACACACACAGAGCTTGAATGAAACATAGACCCAGAAGTAAGCTACTTGTACTCACGAGGCCTATTATGTGCAGAATCCCTCTCGCTTTCAGTTGGTTTTGATTGAGTGTCCACATGTGGACGTTTAAGGACTAAAAAGCGATCCATTTGTCACTTTGCTGTTAGCAAATAATGTGGGGCTCCAGCTAACAGGAAGTCACTCAAGTGTCACAAAGTAATTTAGCCTATGGGTAGGTCAAAAATCTAATGGGTGCTGGCCATTGGCCTAATCATATCACCTGTGTTGGCTTTATGTTTTTGGTCAAACATTTGTTTGTTTCACATTTGCATTGATGTAATCAATAATTTTTCTGATTTAATTTAATAAAAATAATAATAATAATTTTCGGGAAAAAAAAACAAACAACATATTTCTTGGGGGTGCTTAGGGGGTGCTTTGGCAATCCTGGGGGGTGCTTCAGCACCCCCTAGCTCCCCCCTGGCGCCGCCCCTGCCTCTGACTGACAGAAGCTCTGCTGACAGAGATGCACTTTCTCTCTTGTTTATTTC